CTCCCTCTCCTTCTCCTTCCCACCCTCCTTCCCTCCCTCTCTCTCTCTCCCCCTTTCTCAACAAGAGTTCTGATAATTAACATTCCTTGGCTGGTGAGTGGGATGCTAAAACTGGTATCAGGACACTGGTCACCTTTTCCCATTCTCCTGGGAGCCACTGCCATGAAGCAGCTGCCAGTGGGAAATGCCAAAGCTCCAGAGACATTTTCAAGTCAGTCTGTTAGAGAAAAGTGAGTGGCACTGTCCTGGAATGTTGGCCAGCTATCCTAGGTTTCTTTTGCTTCCCTATTTGTTAGGGTGGGAAGATGGGGTGGGGGTGAGGGTCTCTCTATGTGCCTTTCCTTTGCAGGTTGACAGTCTATGCCACACTGGAGCAGGAAAACTGACATGAGCAGGAAAAAAATAAGTGCCACATCTATCTTTTAGGCCCACCGCCTCAGACTTAACATTGAAACAAGTGAAATATACACCTGATCATCCATGGAGGCTTCTAAGGCCATGGCCAAATAGATTTAGAAGAGAGCCAGTTTTCCACACTGGCTCTGAATGACACTAGTAACCAGATTCTGCCGTTCTTCATCCACCTTGCCCAAGAAGTATAGACACGACCTGTTTCACTTCAGTACCTCTCCCTTCTTGGGACAGGGTTCTTAGATACTAAATGCTGCTGTCTTTTTTGCTTAAGGAGTGAGATGAGTAATACATTTGCTTTTATCCAAACATGTTTAGGGCACTCCTGCTGGACAACTTCCAGACTAGCTGTGAGTCAACAGAGCCCTGTTTGCCAGCTCCATTGCCATCGTAGACGAGACAGAGGTGTGGCAGCTGTGTCACCCAGAGACAGCAGTCAAGGTTGGCATGGCTATGAGCAGAGAACTGGAGGAAACAGACCTGGGTTCTTCCTTGACCTGAGAATGTACAGGAAAAGTTTCTCTGGGGCCAACCTTGCCAGTCCTTGAAATTTTTGGCCTACCCGCTGGCCCTTCCCCTGCTCCAAAGTTAAGAAAGGGGTCCCATTGCAAACTTGAAATTACTTTCCTGAAGTTGCTACATCAGGTACTAGCCAAGCTCAGCCACACCTGTCTTAACATCCAGTTTTCCTGTCAGCCACAGCGCTGTCAGGGGTCCTGGGGCCTGCAGTCCCTGATTATGATGGGACATGTTTTGTCAGCTGCTGGCATACCACCTGCCCGGAGCTACAGGAGGTCTGGTTCTGGGATGGGAGTTGGTTCAATTTCTGAGTATGGGAACTTCCCACTGCAAGTAGTGGGAAATTACAATTAACTACAACTTACTTAACTATAACTTGCCTCCAGAGGTTTAGTGTTTTTAATGTGGGAAAGAAAGGAAAAATCTCAGGTCCAATCAGGGTTCTGCCCATCAGCTTTTCACTGAAACTTTCAACTCGGTTTTTTCTGTCTTTCAGTTTCTAGCTATATTGACCTCCTCCCTGCAGGTTCCCTCCTCCTCTTTTTTTTTCTTTTGGTCTCCTTTTCAGCTTCTTTTCTCCATTAGTTTGGACGTACCTCATTCTCTTTTAAAGCAGATTATGTCCACTTGTTCTTACTGACCTTAGTTTAAGAGCTACAGCTGAGGGAGGTACACTGAAAAGACATGTAGCGTTTGCCTTACTCGGAGCCTGAAGAGCTCAGAAACTCATGCTGTGAATCCCAAAACTCAGCGCTCCTCCATGAGCTGTGAAAATAAATCATGACACTTTGTCACAATTTTGCCTGAAAGGGTCTTTTGCATGGGCACCAGAGCCAACCCGAGGTAAATTCCAGATCCCACTCTGTGGACATAATACTCCCCCCCAGTGGCTCATTCCTTGCCCCGCCAGGCCAAGAGAAGCCAGGAGTGTACCGGACAGCACAGCATATCCCAGGCTGCAGTGCAGCTGATGGAACATGCTGCCGTCACTCCGTCTTCAGGCTGGGATTCTGTCTTATAATTAGTATCATGTCCATCAAGATCTGTAGAAAGACCAGCTTTTAGGCGGTGATACTTTTCTCCCATTAACCTGGGGGAGGGGGGAGGTATGCAGTTGGTGCTTTCTTTAATTCCCTTGTTTTGTTTCTGTAAGCTGTTTCCCCTGGTATCATGGAAAGGACCTCTTAAATAACCACACTGCGGGTGGCTGTAATCCAAAGTATAAATGATTGGCCAGAAGTACAGAGTATCCTTTCCTGGATTAGTGTATGTATGGAAAGGGCTCCTTGCCAGAACTGAACTTGTTATATAAAAACCTGGCTAGGGAGATTTTAAAATGCTAAAATCACAGTTTAATATTACCATCTAGCCACAGATTGAGCAACAAAAGTTATTTTGATTGTGAAGTGGGGGTCCCTATTTAGCCAACCATCTAGCACAGTGTGCTCTCAGATTTGATGCTTGTTGAGTGTGTGTCTTCACAAGCCCCTCTCTGGTGCTGAATTGGATTTGAACTCTTAGTGAGAGGCCTCAGCATCTCCTTGGGCTGGTCTGGGCCAGTAAATAGCTGCCTGAAGTGTTTATATATGATCATGGTCAATAGTTCAGTGAAATTTGTACATTTTTGGTAACACTGGCATACAGGATGCCCCTGCAGTACCTTTTCTGTTTGGTAGTTTGTGACTCTAAAATTTCCACTGTTATGTGTGTTAATTTATGATAATAAATTTTTTTGAAAACCTTTCAGATAACTCTCAAGTCTGTTATTTTGTTCTTATGGTTTGGTAATGTTAAAACTTTATCTGTAATGTCATGAAGTTTTTTTTTTAAATAGATATTCCAGAGCTATATTTCACAGCAAGCATCATTCTTTCCAAAGTAGTTATCATTTTCTGAGTTCCTGTGCTCAGAACATGTATAGAACTCCACCTTTAGGGTGGCCTTCAAAGCTTCCAGTGGAGCTCTTTGAACTTATTCAGTGGTGGTAAATCATCTCTTGTGAGGGAATTTGGATTTAGAAATAGCCAATAGTCATTAAAATCTGAGTCATACCCAATTAAGTTGGGTTGCTGAGCAAGTATTTTAGATGTGGTTTTTATTTATTTATTTAATTTTTTGAGTTAGAGTCTCTGTTGCCCAGGCTGGAGTACAGTGGCACGCTCATGGCCACCACAGCCTCCACCTGCTAAGCTCAGGTGATCCTTACTCCTCAGCCTTCCAAGTAACTGGAACTACAGGCATGCGCCACCACGCCCAGCTAACTTTTATTTATGGTAGAGATGAGACCTCGCCAAGTTGCCCAGACTGGTCTCAAACCTATAGGCTCAGGCAGTCTGCTCACCTCAGCCTCCCCAAAGTGCTGGGATTATAGGCATGAGCCACCATGCCCAGCCTAGGTGTGATGTTTAAATAATACAACTTACTTTTTCACATGGCTGGAAAATCAAAAAAGTGATAAATTCAGGTCAAAATGTTTCACATATTAACTGTGTATTTGAAATCAGAGCCTAGCTTTCTGAGAAGACTACTTGGGAGAGTATAAATATAGTGGGGTAAAAAGTACATTTACTTTTTTTTTTAATTTTTAATTTTTTTTTTAGTTGGAGTCTCACTCCATCGCCCAGCCTGGAGTGCAGTGGCATGCTCACGGCCCCCCCAGCATCGACCTGCTGGGCTCAGGCGATCCTTCCGCCTCAGCCTTCCAAGTAGCCAGAACTACAGGTGTGTGCTACCACACCCAGCTTATTTATTTATTTATTTATTTATTTTAGAGATGTGGTCTCGCCAAGTTGCCC